GATTCTTTTTTGCCAATTTTGGGAGCACCAGGACATGGCTTTTAAAAATTCCCATCTTTTTGTGCGCTTTGTCACAAAATTCACAAAGGAAGCTTTCACAATTAGAGCAGAAACTTACAACATTTGTCTCCTCACACTGATCGCATTTTGATATCTCTTTTGTTGTTGATAATGTTTCTACTTTACGAGCTAATTGTGTGTTTGGTAATAGCTCATCTACTCCTTTAGGGGAGAGGGTATGCTCATTTCGACACAACGGACACTTAACAGACGTAGATATTGATGCCAACTTTGATAGACACCCTTTACAGAAGCTGTGAAGACAAGGCAATATCCTAGGATCTGAATAAGTATCCTGACATACTGTACACGTTGATGGAATCTCATCATTTTCTTCCTCGTTTTTTTTACACAGCTGCGGCACTATCAGCACATCGTCGTCATCATCATCAGCTGAGAACGTTATGTATTGTGTGTAACTAATGGGAAGAATATCGTCTTCTTCAACTGTATACTCCATTCCATCTCGACTCATCTCATCTCGTGATAGTAGATATAAACTATAAAGTTATTAGTAGTTATTAGGGTTTACTTTAAGAATAATACAAAAATAATAGGCACCACAGAGAGATTAAAGAATAGAATAATAGGGAATTTAAAAAATTTTAGGCCTACTCTTACTGGTTAATTTTAGTTAGGTTAACTGGTTAATACATTAAAAGATAGCCTTAATAATCATTTGGACCATTGGGTCATATTTTTAAAAAATTGAGGCATGAAATAATGATGTTTGAGAGAGGGAGATAAAAGCAATAACTCTCTTCAACATCAAGCTAAGTTGCTGGAAATAAATCTTACAAATATACAATGACTGGTTGTACAAAAACAATAGATACATTTTTACAACAATAAATTTCACCATTTAATTTCAATATCACTGCAACAAAATACTTTCCAGGTTTAACTGTTTGGAATGAAACGACCCGTTTATTTTCACTCTGTATCGTCATGACCATCATTTCCTTCATAATAGTCAGGTACACAAAATGCTAGCACCAGGAAACAGTATTTTACCACATTGAGCTTTTACTTCCAAGTGATAAGTATCATCAATTTGAAGTACATCAGAACCAGGAGGAAGTACTACCAGTAACCCTCCAGTAAGTGTGACAGGTCTTTCATATCCCTTATGTGTCAGGACGATGACAATGTCAGGAACATCCCCAAACTTTCCTATGCTTTCAATGAAATCTTTATCACTCAGATCCTGAAAAGAAGCATATCTCTTTCTCGAGCCATATATATTAAAGGACTGAGGTTTGTTATGACTTTAGGATCCCACGAAAGTGAATTCATTTTCTTCATTGAGTTATAACAGCATCAATACCTAATACAGCAACTTCCTGCTTGTCCTCACTCTTTAAAGGCCTTCATACACGAGCACAAATGTTGCAAGCAACATGTTGCCTAGTGTATGGGGGCCTTTAGCAAGCTGATCAGCAAACTTAATTCCAGCCTCTAGCTTGCAAATACATGTTTCAATGATATCCTTCTCAGCCCACAGTGTCTTGGAGAAACCATTGTATTGTGTGTCAACTTGTTGTAGGAGCACTTCTTTACATCTAACAGCTTCTGTAATTCTTCAAATTTTGGTACAAAATTAATTATGATTAAAACTTAAAAGAAAATCTTAAATATCTTAATCCATGATTATGAAAGTAAAATTAATGTTTGGTTTAGGTTTAGAGTCCCCTGATTAGAATTTGTCTTTTGGTCCTTTCACCCGTGGGACCCGAGGACAAGGTGAGTCCCTTCTCTCGTAGTGCCTGGTCCTCTTGGGCTGGGTATACAATGCTGATATCAGCGGACTTGGTGGTGGTGATGCACTATCACTAGATGATGATTCTGGAATACAAAATAACTTAGATTTTCTATGACAATCATCATGGCATATTTTTAAGACAGCCTCAAGGGTATAATCTCCCGAATACTTCGTCTGAAACGTAACATCCCATTTATTTAGCTTAGCTCTATAAGTAGTACATGATAATACTTCATCTCCTCGTCTGCAGCTGCACTGAAAATTCATTTGAGGAAAGGATATCTTGGGATGATGACCAAACTTAACTTCAATTTCAATGCAATATGTGCCATTTTCCTGAAAATCTCTAAGAGAATTAGAATATTTTCCATCACTTATTACTACTTCAATATTATTGATTATCCCAATTTTTTCTATACAGCGTTTATCAAAATCTGCATCATAAGCCAAGGGGCCAAGATTTTGAATGGACTTAGGATTCCAGGACAAGGTTTTGGTTACTCGATTCGACGCAAGAGCTTTAGAGCCCAACACAGCCACTTCCAGCTTGTCATCACTCTTGGCAAGTTGTTGAGCAAATCTGATTCCAGCCTCTAGCTTGCAAATACCTGTTTCGACGATATCCTTCTCGATCCAAAGCAATTTAGAAAAATCATTGTATTGTGTATCAACTTGTTGTAGGAGCACTTCTTTGCGTTTATCTAAGAGCTTGTGTAACTCTTCAAATTGAGAGGTGATGAAAGATTTCATTTCGTCAGGATAAACTGTAACGTGTTTTTCAATTTTAGCAACCTCTTCAGCATGGGAATGAAATGTTTCAAGCTTAGTCTTGAGCTGCTTTGAATCTGATACCAAGAATCTTTTAATTTTATCTGAAACATCCATTGCTGGTTCAAACCTGTGTCCATTGTGGTTATAAATCGCACAATCACGACAAATGACACTCTTACAGATAGCACAGTAAACTGAAAGTGCTTCAGAAGTATGCTTTGGACACATGAAACTCTTTACTTTAGGATTCTTTTTTGCTAACTTTGGGAGGACCAGCTCATGACTTTTAAATGCTAACATTTTTTTATGTGCTCCATCACAAGATTTACAAAGGTAGCTTTCACAATAAGAGCAGAAACTCACAACATCTGTTTCGTCACTCTCACACTGATCACATTTTAATTTCTCAGTGGTCGTTGACAATGTTTCTACTTTACGAGCTAATTGTGTGTTTGGTAATAGCTCATCTACTCCTTTAGGAGAGAGGGTATGCTCATTTCGACACAACGGACACTTAATAGAAGTAGATATTGATGCCAACTTTGATAGACACCCTTTACAGAAGCTGTGAAGACAAGGCAGAACTCTGGGATCTGAGTAAGTATCCTGACATATCGTACACGTTAACGGAGTTTCTTCAATTTCATCTTCTTCCTTACCAGAGGCTCGAAAAGAGGTGGAGTAGGAGCTCGGGCTCGTACTGTGCCGTGCCTCAGGTCCCTCTAGCTCTTGCAGCATAGTGAGACTAGTGAGAAGGCCTTGACCAGCTCTTTTTCTTTAGTGAGCACTCGATTATGTACCGAACGACCGCCATTTAGATCTAATAACTGGTTTATAAATTGGGGCGTGATCATTCATTATCAGCTCTGCATCATTATAATGCTTGGTACATCAAGAGTAAATAATACCTTGGTGTATAACCTATACTTAAATTACAATGTATACTACAAACTATGAATCATCATCAGAATAATCATAATAATAGCGTGGTCCATGATTAATTTCAAAAG